TTCCTTCCCTTCCTCTGAAAACATGGCCACAACCGGTGAAACTGGCTATTGTTTACTCTGTGGCCTGGACTGTTTTAGAGCCCGGCTTTTATTAGCTGTTACCAGTGGCACTTCTCAGGGAGAGTCGCCAGTGGCAGCAGCTTCAGTGCCATTAACAGAGGCAGTAAAGCAGAGACTGGCATCCTGAGTGTGATGTTATTACCCTTGCATCTCCTGCTCTGAGTGGCAACGCCGTACAGGTTCTCACGATTAAGTAAACAGATGGTCACTATTTCTGGAAAAAAACGGGAAATCTTGCTTCAAAATAGACAGAAACTACTTCTAAAAAGACAGATATGCTTATAAACACACACACACACACACACACACACACAACACACACACACACACACACACACACACACACACACACACACACACACACACACACACACACAAACACACACACACAAACTTCTGCTTTAAAATACGTAGGATCAGCCTCAAAAACACATAGGGACCGTTTCAAAACACACTCACCCCTAAGAACTCCTGCTTTAAAACACACAGGACTCCCGCTTTAAAGCATCACAAGAACTGTTTGGAAGCACACAGCTGAGTCGTGTCCCAGCTTACATAAGAGTATAAGAAAGAAAAGAAGGAACATTGCAGCAGGCCTACTGGCCCATGCTAGAAAGATCCAAGTCACACTCACCCACCCTTGTACTTGTCAAACGTATTTTTTAAAGCTACACAAGGTTTTAGCTTGTGACGCTACTACAACAAGGTCACCTATACAAGTCAACGTCACCTACAAGTCAATCAAGGGGACATTCACCTAACAAGAAAACAACGTTAATAATCCAACACATTCCACTCCACGTCAATATCATAGCAGTCAATTTATGGTGATTAATACGTCAAGCCAGAGATCGACCGGTCTGTAAGGTTGCCATGGTAACCAACGGAATATAATTGTATAAATAATGATAAAATAGCGGATTTATTCTCCATATTTAGGCCCATCTGGAAGTAAGGGTCACGTTATGAATACAAGAGACAGTTACAGCACTCAGAGGTAGGTGGATCAGGATGAAGCGCACAGTTATTCACTCTTAAATAAGACAGGTCCTGCCACTTACATGGTAGGTAAAGCAGACAGGTCCTGCCACTTACATGGTAGGTAAAGCAGACAGGTCCTGCCACTTACATGGTAGGTAAAGCAGACAGGTCCTGCCACTTACATGAGAGGTAAAGCAGACAGGTCCTGCCACTTACATGGTAGGTAAAGCAGACAGGTCCTGTCATTTACATGGTAGGTAAAGCAGGCAGGTCCTGCCACTTACATGGCAGGTAAAGCAGGCAGGTCCTGCCACTTACATGATAGGTAAAGCAGACAGGTCCTGCCACTTACATGATAGGTAAAGCAGACAGGTCCTGCCACTTACATGGCAGGTAAAGCAGACAGGTCCTGCCACTTACATGGTAGGTAAAGCAGGCAGGTCCTGCCACTTACATGGCAGGTAAAGCAGACAGGTCCTGTCATTTACATGGTAGGTAAAGCAGACAGGTCCTGCCACTTACATGGCAGGTAAAGCAGACAGGTCCTGTCATTTACATGGTAGGTAAAGCAGACAGGTCCTGCCACTTACATGGTAGGTAAAGCAGGCAGGTCCTGCCACTTACATGGAAGGTAAAGCAGACAGGTCCTGCCACTTACATGGTAGGTAAAGCAGACAGGTCCTGCCACTTACATGGTAGGTAAAGCAGACAGGTCCTGCCACTTACATGGTAGGTAAAGCAGACAGGTCCTGCCACTTACATGGTAGGTAAAGCAGACAGGTCCTGCCACTTACATGGTAGGTAAAGCAGGCAGGTCCTGCCACTTACATGGTAGGTAAAGCAGACAGGTCCTGCCACTTACATGGTAGGTAAAGCAGACAGGTCCTGCCACTTACATGGTAGGTAAAGCAGACAGGTCCTGCCACTTACATGGTAGGTAAAGCAGACAGGTCCTGCCACTTACATGGTAGGTAAAGCAGACAGGTCCTGCCACTTACATGGTAGGTAAAGCAGACAGGTCCTGCCACTTACATGGCAGGTAAAGCAGACAGGTCCTGCCACTTACATGGTAGGTAAAGCAGACAGGTCCTGCCACTTACATGGTAGGTAAAGCAGACAGGTCCTGCCATTTACATGGTAGGTAAAGCAGACAGGTCCTGCCATTTACATGGTAGGTAAAGCAGACAGGTCCTGCCATTTACATGGTAGGTAAAACAGACAGGTCCTGCCACTTACATGGTAGGTAAAGCAGACAGGTCCTGCAATTTACATGGTAGGTAAAGCAGACAGGTCCTGCTATTTACATGGTAGGTAAAACAGACAGGTCCTGCCACTTACATGGTAGGTAAAGCAGACAGGTCCTGCCACTTACATGGTAGGTAAAGCAGACAGGTCCTGCCACTTACATGGTAGGTAAAGCAGACAGGTTCTGCCATTTACATGGTAGGTAAAGCAGACAGGTCCTGCCACTTACATGGTAGGTAAAGCAGACAGGTCCTGCCACTTACATGGTAGGTAAAGCAGACAGGTCCTGCCACTTACATGGTAGGTAAAGCAGGCAGGTCCTGCCACTTACATGGTAGGTAAAGCAGACAGGTCCTGCCACTTACATGGTAGGTAAAGCAGACAGGTCCTGCCACTTACATGGTAGGTAAAGCAGACAGGTCCTGCCACTTACATGGTAGGTAAAGCAGACAGGTCCTGCCACTTACATGGTAGGTAAAGCAGACAGGTCCTGCCACTTACATGGCAGGTAAAGCAGACAGGTCCTGCCATTTACATGGTAGGTAAAGCAGACAGGTCCTGCCATTTACATGGTAGGTAAAACAGACAGGTCCTGCCACTTACATGGTAGGTAAAGCAGACAGGTCCTGCCACTTACATGGTAGGTAAAGCAGACAGGTCCTGCCACTTACATGGTAGGTAAAGCAGACAGGTCCTGCCATTTACATGGTAGGTAAAGCAGACAGGTCCTGCCACTTACATGGTAGGTAAAGCAGACAGGTCCTGCCACTTACATGGTAGATAAAGCAGACAGGTCCTGCCACTTACATGAGAGGTAAAGCAGACAGGTCCTGCCACTTACATGGAAGGTAAAGCAGGCAGATCCTGTTACTTACATGGTGGGTAGTGCAGGCAGGCCCTGCCACTTACATGGTGGGTAGTGCAGGCAGGCCCTGCCACTTACATGGTGGGTAGTGCAGGCAGGCCCTGCCACTTACATGATGGGTAGTGCAGGCAGGTCCTGCCACTTACATGATGGGTAGTGCAGGCAGGTCCTGCCACTTACATGGTGGGTAGTGCAGGCAGATTCTGTGACATACATGGTGGGTAGAGCAGGCAGGTCCTGCCACTTACATGGTAGGTAGTGCAGGCAGGACCTGCCACTTACATGGTGGGTAGAGCAGGCAGGCCCTGCCACTTACATGATGGGTAGTGCAGGCAGGTTCTGCCACTTACATGGTGGGTAGTGCAGGCAGATCCTGTCACATACATGGTGGGTAGAGCAGGCAGGCCCTGCCACTTACATGGTGGGTTAGAGCAGGCAGGTCCTTGCCACTTACATGATGGGTAGTGCAGGCAGGTCCTGCCACTTACATGGTGGGTAGTGCAGGCAGATCCTGTCACATACATGGTGGGTAGAGCAGGCAGGTCCTGCCACTTACATGGTGGGTAGTGCAGGCAGGCCCTGCCACTTACATGGTGGGTAGTGCAGGCAGGTCCTGCCACTTACATGGTGGGTAGTGCAGGCAGGTCCTGCCACTTACATGATGGGTAGTGCAGGCAGGTCCTACCACTTACATGGTGGGTAGTGCAGGCAGGTCCTGCCACTTACATGGTGGGTAGTGCAGGCAGGTCCTGCCACTTACATGATGGATAGTGCAGGCAGGTCCTGCCACTTACATGGTGGGTAGTACAGGCAGGTCCTGCCACTTACATGGTGGGTAGTGCAGGCAGGTCCTGCCACTTACATGGTGGGTAGTGCAGCCAGGTCCTGCCACTTACATGGTGGGTAGTGCAGGCAGATCCTGTCACATACATGGTGGGTAGAGCAGGCAGGTCCTGCCACTTACATGGTGGGTAGTGAAGGCAGGTCCTGCCACTTACATGGTGGGTAGTGCAGGCAGGTCCTGCCACTTACATGGTGGGTAGTGCAGGCAGGTCCTGCCACTTACATGGTGGGTAGTGCAGGCAGGTCCTGCCACTTACATGGTGGGTAGTGCAGGCAGGTCCTGCCACTTACATGGTGGGTAGTGCAGGCAGGTCCTGCCACTTACATGGTGGGTAGTGCAGGCAGGTCCTGCCACTTACATGGTGGGTAGTGCAGGCAGGTCCTGCCACTTACATGGTGGGTAGTGCAGGCAGGTCCTGCCACTTACATGGTGGGTAGTGCAGGCAGGTCCTGCCACTTACATGGTGGGTAGTGCAGGGCAGGTCCTGCCACTTACATGGTGGGTAGTGCAGGCAGGTCCTGCCACTTACATGGTGGGTAGTGCAGGCAGGTCCTGCCACTTACATGGTGGGTAGTGCAGGCAGGTCCTGCCACTTACATGGTGGGTAGTGCAGGCAGGTCCTGCCACTTACATGGTGGGTAGTGCAGGCAGGTCCTGCCACTTACATGGTGGGTAGTGCAGGCAGGTCCTGCCACTTACATGGTGGGTAGTGCAGGCAGGTCCTGCCACTTACATGGTGGGTAGTGCAGGCAGGTCCTGCCACTTACATGGTGGGTAGTGCAGGCAGGCCCTGCCACTTACATGGTGGGTAGTGCAGGCAGGCCCTGCCACTTACATGGTGGGTAGTGCAGGCAGGCCCTGCCACTTACATGGTGGGTAGTACAGGCAGGCCCTGCCACTTACATGGTGGGTAGTGCAGGCAGGCCCTGCCACTTACATGGTGGGTAGTGCAGGCAGGCCCTGCCACTTACATGGTGGGTAGTACAGGCAGGCCCTGCCACTTACATGGTGGGTAGTGCAGGCAGGTCCTGCCACTTCTGGACTGCAATAGCCAGTTGTTTACAGGCGTACTCCAACATCATCTGCGCCTGCCTCCACTTGAAGTTGGCCTCCATTATCCGGCCTCGGTGGGCCTCCAGGTCGTCTAGCTCCGCCTCTAGCTGATTCTCCAGCTCAGACCCGTACTGGTCTCCGAACATCCGGTCTGTGGAGAGCACAGCAAGATAGCCAATGGGGATTAAATCCTATCAACTTGACGAGGGTCATGATGACTGCATGTCACCTATTCACAAGTCAAGAATACTTTAATCCCTTAAATAGCTATGTATATACACTGGGAGGTATACCCCTCTCGGTGTATATATCCTGTGCAAAGGGGGTCAGAGAGATATTTGTGAGACGATGCGTTAAAAATGTTTGAGACTGTGTGTGAGGAACGTTTGATGGACGGGATGTGAGGAACGTTTGATGGACGGGATGTGAGGAACGTTTGATGGACGGATGTGAGGAACGTTTGATGGACGGGATGTGAGGAACGTTTGATGGACGGGATGTAAGGAACGTTTGATGGACGGGATGTGAGGAACGTTTGATGGACGGATGTGAGGAACGTTTGATGGACGGGATATGAGGAACGTTTGATGGACGGGATGTGAGGAACGTTTGATGGACGGATGTGAAAAACGTTTGATGGACGGGATGTGAGGAACGTTTGATGGACGGGATGTGAGGAACGTTTGATGGACGGATGTGAGGAACGTTTGATGGACGGATGTGAGGAACGTTTGATGGACGGGATGTGAGGAACGTTTGATGGACGGATGTGAGGAACGTTTGATGGACGGGATGTGAGGAACGTTTGATGGACGGAAGTGAGGAACGTTTGATGGACGGATGTGAGGAACGTTTGATGGAAGGGATGTGAGGAACGTTTGATGGAAGGGATGTGAGGAACGTTTGATGGACGGATGTGAAAAACGTTTGATGGACGGATGTGAAAAACGTTTGATGGACGGGATGTGAGGAACGTTTGATGGACGGATGTGAAAAACGTTTGATGGACGGGATGTGAGGAACGTTTGATGGACAGGATGTGAGGAACGTTTGATGGACGGGATGTGAGGAACGTTTGATGGAGAGGGATGTGAGGAACGTTTGATGGACGGGATGTGAGGAACGTTTGATGGACGGGATGTGAGGAACGTTTGATGGACGGGATGTGAGGAACGTTTGATGGACGGGATGTGAGGAACGTTTGATGGACGTGATGTGAGGAACGTTTGATGGACGGGATGTGAGGAACGTTTGATGGACGGATGTGAGGAACGTTTGATGGACGGGATGTGAGGAACGTTTGATGGACGGGATGTGAGGAACGTTTGATGGACGGGATGTGAGGAACGTTTGATGGACGGATGTGAGAAACGTTTGATGGACGGATGTGAGGAACGTATGATGGACGGGATGTGAGGAACGTTTGATGGACGGGATGTGAGGAACGTTTGATGGACAGGATGTGAGGAACGTTTGATGGACGGATGTGAGGAATGTTTGTTGGACGGGATGTGAGGAACGTTTGATGGACGGGATGTGAGGAACGTTTGATGGACGGATTTGAGGAACGTTTGATGGACGGGATGTGAGGAACGTTTGATGGACGGGATGTGAAGAACGTTTGATGGACGGATGCGAGGAACGTTTGATGGACGGGATGTGAGGAACGTTTGATGGACGGATGCGAGGAACGTTTGATGGACGGGATGTGAGGAACGTTTGATGGACGGGATGTGAAGAACGTTTGATGGACGGGATGTGAGGAACGTTTGATGGACGGATGTGAGGAACGTTTGATGGACGGGATGTGAGGAACGTTTGATGGACGTGATGTGAGGAACGTTTGATGGACGGGATGTGAGGAACGTTTGATGGACGGGATGTGAGGAACGTTGGAGGGACGGGATGTGAGGAACGTTTGATGGACGGGATGTGAGGAACGTTTGATGGACGGGATGTGAGGAACGTTTGATGGACGGATGTGAGGAACGTTTGATGGACGGGATGTGAGGAACGTTTGATGTACGGGATGTGAGGAACGTTTGATGGACGGGATGTGAGGAACGTTTGATGGACGGGATGTGAGGAACGTTGGAGGGACGGGATGTGAGGAACGTTGGAGGGACGGGATGTGAGGAACGTTGGAGGGACGGGATGTGAAGAACGTTTGATGGACGAGATGTGAGGAACGTTTGATGGACGGGATGTGAGGAACGTTTGATGGACGGATGTGAGGAATGTTTGTTGGACGGGATGTGAGGAACGTTTGATGGACGGGATGTGAGGAACGTTTGATGTACGGGATGTGAGGAACGTTTGATGGACGGGATGTGAGGAACGTTTGATGGACGGGATGTGAGGAACGTTGGAGGGACGGGATGTGAGGAACGTTGGAGGGACGGGATGTGAGGAACGTTGGAGGGACGGGATGTGAAGAACGTTTGATGGACGGGATGTGAGGAACGTTTGATGGACGGGATGTGAGGAACGTTGGAGGGACGGGATGTGAGGAACGTTGGAAAGACGGGATGTGAGGAACGTTGGAGGGACGGATGTGAGGAACGTTGGAGGGACGGGATGTGAGGAACGTTGGAGGGACGGGATGTGAGGAACGTTTGATGGACGGATGTGAGGAACGTTTGATGGACGGATGTGAGGAACGTTGGAGGGACGGGATGTGAGAAACGTTGGAGGGACGGATGTGAGGAACGTTGGAGGGACGGATGTGAGGAACGTTGGAAAGACGGATGTGAGGAACGTTGGAGGGACGGGATGTGAGGAACGTTGGAGGGACGGGATGTGAGGAACGTTGGAGGGACGGGATGTGAGGAACGTTGGAGGGACGGATGTGAGGAACGTTGGAGGGACGGGATGTGAGGAACGTTGGAGGGACGGGATGTGAGGAACGTTTGATGGACGGATGTGAGGAACGTTGGAGGGACGGATGTGAGGAACGTTTGACAGACGGAATGTGAGGAACGTTTGATGGACGGATGCGAGGAACGTTTGATGGACGGATGTGAGGAACTTTGGAGGGACGGGATGTGAGGAACGTTGGAGGGACGGATGTGAGGAACGTTGGAGGGACTGATGTGAGGAACGTTGGAGGGACGGGATGAGGAACGTTGGAGGGACGGGATGTGAGGAACGTTGGAGGGACGGTGGTGTGTGTTAGGAACGTTGGAGGGACGGTGGTGTGTGTTAGGAACGTTGGAGGGACGGTGGTGTGTGTTAGGAAAGTTGGAGGGACGGTGGTGTGTGTTAGGAACGTTGGAGGGACTGTGGTGTGTGTTAGGAACGTTGGAGGGACGGTGATGTGTGTTAGGAACGTTGGAGGGACTGTGGTGTGTGTTAAGGACGTTGGAGGGACGGTGGTGTGTGTTAGGAACGTTGGCGGGACGGTGGTGTGTGTTAGGAACTTTGGACGGTCTGTGGTGTGTGTTAGGAACGTTGGAGGGACGGTGGTGTGTGTTAGGAACGTTGGACGGTCTGTGGTGTGTGTTAGGAACGTTGGAGGGACTGTGGTGTGTGTTAGGAACGTTGGAGGGACGGTGGTGTGTGTTAGGAACGTTGGAGGGACGGTGGTGTGAGGTAGGAAAATTGGAGGGACGGTGGTGTGTGTTAGGAACGTTGGAGGGACTGTAGTGTGTGTTAGGAACGTTGGAAGGACTGTGGCGTGTGTTAGGAACGTTGGAGGGACGGTGGTGTGTGTTAGGAACGTTGGAGGGACTGTGGTGTGTATTAGGAACGTTGGAGGGACGGTGGTGTGTGTTAGGAACGTTGGAGGGACTGTGGTGTGTGTTAGGAACGTTGGAGGGACTGTGGTGTGTGTTAGGAACGTTGGAGGGACTGTGGTGTGTGTCAAAAACGTTGGAGGGACGGTGGTGTGTGTTAGGAACGTTGGAGGGACTGTGGTGTGTGTTAGGAACGTTGGAGGGACTGTGGTGTGTGTTAGGAACGTTGGAGGGACTGTGGTGTGTGTTAGGAACGTTGGAGGGACGGTGGTGTGTGTTAGGAACGTTGGAGGGACGGTGGTGTGTGTTAGGAACGTTGGAGGGACTGTGGTGTGTGTTAGGAACGTTGGAGGGACTGTGGTGTGTGTTAGGAACGTTGGAGGGACGGTGGTGTGTGTTAAGAACGTTGGAGGGACTGTGGTGTGCGATAGGAACGTTGGAGGGACTGTGGTGTGTGTTAGGAACGTTGGAGGGACAGTGGTGTGTGTTAGGAACGTTGGAGGGACGGTGGTGTGTGTTAGGAACGTTGGAGGGAGGGTGGTGTGTGTTAGAAACATTGGAGGGACTGTGGTGTGTGTTAGGAACGTTAGAGGGACTGTGGTGTGTGCTAGGAACGATGGAGGGACTGTGGTGTGTGTTAGGAACGTTGGAGGGAGGGTGGTGTGTGTTAGGAACGTTGGAGGGACTGTGGTGTGAGTTAGGAACGTTGGAGGGACTGTGGTGTGTGTTAGAAACGTTGGAGGGACCGTGGTGGGCGTTAGATACGTTGGAAGGACGGTGGTGTGTGTTAGAAACGTTGGAGGGACTGTGGTGTGTGTTAGGAACGTTAGAGGGACTGTGGTGTATGTTAGGAACGTTGGAGGGACTGTGGTGTGTGTTAGGAACGTTGGAGGGACCGTGGTGGGCGTTAGATACGTTGGAAGGACGGTGGTGTGTGTTAGAAACGTTGGAGGGACTGTGGTGTGTGTTAGGAACGTTAGAGGGACTGTGGTGTATGTTAGGAACGTTGGAGGGACTGTGGTGTGTGTTAGGAACGTTGGAGGGACGGTGGTGTGTGTTAGGAACGTTGGAGGGACGGTGGTGTGTGTGTTAGGAACGTTGGAGGGACTGTGGTGTGGTGTTAGGAAACGTTGGAGGTACGGTGGTGTGTGTTAGAACGTTGGAGAGACTGTGGTGTGTGTTAGGAACGTTGGAGGGACGGTGGTGTGTGTTAGGAACGTTGGAGGGACTGTGGTGTGTGCTAGGAACGTTGGAGGGACTGTGGTGTGCGATAGGAATGTTGGAGGGACTGTGGTGTGTGTTAGGAACGTTGGAGGGACTGTGGTGTGTGTTAGGAACGTTGGAGGGACGGTGGTGTGTGTTAGGAACGTTGGAGGGAGGGTGGTGTGTGTTAGGAACGTTGGAGGGACTGTGGTGT